GGCTTCGTCCTAAGGCAGCCTCCCCTCTTTTAGGGCAGAATTTCTACTGGCAGCTCCTGTTTTCTTGCTGCCAGCTCTACTGTCGCCTCTTAGAAAGACATCCTCTTCCCAGTATTTTCAGCAGAAACTCAGGACTGGTTGTCACTGGCTCATATTGAATTGTGTCGTCTCTGAATCATTAACTCTGGCCTCAGGACAGGGATAGATAGACTAGAGTGGGGGGTCACAATGCCGTCCCACTCAAACCCCATAGTCTGAGGGTAGGGGATATACTGTTTCCCAGAGGAGACTCAGGGCCCTTCTACCCGAATGGGGAATGGCTGCTGGGCAGGCCCCAAACTATAGGTCTTCATTTGACTTAGGAACACCTTAAGAACTCTGTGTCTTAGTATATAAAAAGCAAGACACAAGACAGCAGGGAAAGTGAGAGGAGCCCAGTTGCTAAGCGTGCGTTTTTGGGTGTGCTAGGCCAGCCTAATCAGATGACAGCCTGCTTCCACTCTGAACACGGGGTCGGGGTGGGGGGATGAGAGGACGGAAGCCAAGGCCTCAGCTCCCTGGGGGATGAGACTCACTGGCCTGTAGGCTGTACCACCTCCTTGAGTGTGTGGTTCAGTGATGAGTGTTAGAGACAAGTTCTGAATGTAAGGGGCAGAAACATTCCTGAAAATTTCCCTGATTTTCCCTCTGCTACCAGTGGTATCCAGAGGAACCTGTAGGCTGCTGGTGGTGGGGCGTGTAGCCGAAATTCGGCCTCTGTACACCGCTCCCGAATTGAATCTTGGAGACAGAGTTTCAGGTAAAGTAGAAAAGAATAGCTTGGGCCACAGCAGGCGAATGCCCTCAATACTATGTGTCCCCACTTGGAGGGGGTAGTGAAGAGTTTTATAGTAATGTTTGAAAGAGGAGGGCGTGATCAGCTCGTGGGCCTTCTTCTGATTGGTTGGAGGTGAGGTAATTGGGAGTCAGCATCATCAACCCTCTGGTTCCAACCGGTCTGGGGTCTGCGTGCTTGGGGGCCGCATACGGTTAACTTCTCCCACCTGCTGGGGGTCAGTATCTGCAAAACAGCTCAAAGATATTGTTCTGTGCATCCCTTGAGGGGGAAACAGGACCCTGCCCCAAGGCTGCACTATCGTTTCTTTTTCAACTTTTTTTTTGAAGTAGAGTTGATGTACAGTATTGTGTTAATTTCTGCTGTACAGCAAAGTGACTCAGTTATACACATATATATATAGACATTCTTTTTTTAATATTCTTTTCCATTATGGTTTATCCTAGGAGACTAGATACAGTTCCCTGTGCTAGACAGTAGGACCTTGCTGTGTATCCATTCTGAATGTAACAGCTTGCATCTACCAACCCCAAACTCCCCGTAGTGGGAGGCTGCACTATTGTTCCTTGGCTTCTCCTTCCTTGTCTCCGCCTCCCCTCCCTGCCCTGATTAGCAACTGTTTGAACCTGCCCTTTGGAACTCAGGGAAGGTCATGGAGGCTGAATGAAGCCTGTTTCCTGCAAACAAGAAATGGGGGACACAGAAAGCCTTTTGTGCCCAGGAGCCCCACAGGGTCCTGCTGGGTTTCAGGTGCTCCATCCAGGAGCAGCTGTGGTGTGCGTTAAACAGCCTCACACTTGCGTGCTGAGGGCCACAGAGATTTCATTATCTTCAGCTGGGCCTCTGCCTTGACCCAGAGCAGCCTTCCTAGGAGACCTCCACCCTTGCAATGGGAGTGGACCTTGCCAGCTTGCAGCATAACGGTCTGAGGTCGACATGGCCCTTTCTTCTCTGTTGTCCAGTGTTGAATCTAGCACCTGCCTTAAAGGCGCCGCTGCACTTTTGTTGGACCTTTGCTGGCTTCCCAGCTCCCGTCAGCCAAGTACTTGTGGGCTCCAGGGGCACCTGCCCTGTGATCTCTGCCTTGGTGTGGGTCATCTTGGCCCAGGATCTCTTCAAGTGGAACTCATTCTTAGCACAAGGGAAGTTGGAAACGCCCTCATGGAAACCCCACAGTTAGCTCTCTTTCTGTGGGAGTAGCAGCTTTCTAAACCAATCCGACCCTTTCCTCTGAGTCTGTTCTTATCCCAGAATTAGGATGTGTCATGTCAGGTTAGGGCCAAGGAAAATAAAGTCATTTACTCTAAAGAAATTCCTAAAAGTTGGGCTGACCTCTTCCATTTGGGTCCGGTGCCAACGACTGTTTGCTGTTGTGTCTTCGCGAGAGCTGGGGAGTCGCTCCCAAAGGGAAGCTGCCAGAGCTGTGCCCAAGTGGAGGGCCCTTCAGTGCTCCCTCGATTCCCCATGCAATATCCAGCCTTTCCCCCTTTCCATCGCATCAAGGAAATTCGATGGAGCCAATTTAGAAGTAAATGAGACACGGGAATGCCTCCCTTGTCTTCAGGACTGTACGTGAACCTGGGGCCCAGCTGCTCCAGTTCTCCTTGGTGTGTGTGGGATAGAACAATATGAAGATTCTACCTGTGCTCTCAGTTATTCATCCACTGGGCAGGCTCAAGTCGCACAAGCAGAATTTTCCAGTATAGTTCTGAGAGTATTTGGAATCTGTAGCCCACTCTACAAATGCCTGGTATTACCGAATAACTTGATTAAAACATTTTACAGCAATGGTTTACTGCTTGGAAAGCAGCAGGTCTTCTGTGAAGGCTAGTGGAGGGCTCTTCTAGCTGTGTTGTCCATTCCGTGCTGCCCAGTCCAGACAGTGCAGGTGGAGACAGAGAGGGGCCTCCCGCCTGGACAGCTCTTCATCTGAGGTATATATTGAGCATCCGTGCAAGATGCTAGTAAGAGTTAATAAGGTTTCCATTACTGGTAAAGAAGTCACCCACAAAAAGCACACAACTAAGATATCCTAAAAACAGATTGTAAAGGAAACAAGCCAGATACTCATTTCGATTCATTTCTGTGAAATTTTATTAAGCTTCATCCACAGTTACTGAGTGCTTACTGCAAGCCAGGATCAGTGTCTTACAGGGCACTTCAGACCTGGCAAGGGGTCTGCTGCCTTTTTTTTTTTTTGCACATGCCAACCTGGCCGGGAGTTGAGTTCTTTGGGAAGGTCCAGTGCCTCTTTGCACCGTCACACCCATGTTGTCCTTGAAAGCTGCAGTCGGTCACTGCACACGGCTGGCTTTGCCCTTCTCCCTGTGCCAGTAAGAGTGACAGCAGGGGTGACAGGAGCAGCTCACGTCACAAACACAGAAGGCCAGCAATGTAATGAGTTGCACTCACCTCACATAGCCCGAGGACCCGAATGTGGCTGAGTCTCTGGAAAGGCTGGGAAACTTCGAGAAGCTAGCGGTTCTCTCTTGCCCCAGTGCTGTGCTTACCCCTGTAGGAGCTTGTCTCTCTGTGTAGCAAACCGTGTGGCCAACCCTAGCTCTGGTGTTTCAATTCCAACAGCATAAATTGACCGGCTAGGCTCTCTCTCTGTCTCAGTTCTTTTTTTTTTTTTTTTTAAGTTTGAAACTTCATTAGAACACTTGCCAGTCGTGTGTTGCAATTATCTATAAAAATCAAGCCAGTAGTTGGTTGCTTATAACATTCAAAAATCCATCAGGGGGCTTCCCGGGTGGCGCAGTGGTTGAGAGTCCGCCTGCCGATGCAGGGGGACACGGGTTCGTGCCCCGGTCCGGGAAGATCCCACATGCCGCGGAGCGGCTGGGCCCGTGAGGCATGGCCGCTGAGCCTGCGCGTCCGGAGCCTGTGCTCCGCAACGGGAGAGAGGCCTGCGTACCGCCAAAAAAAAAAAAAAAAAAATCCATCAAACTGTTGTTACCAGGCAAAGAAGATAGGTGCATTGACATACTAGCTTAGTTCTATCAGGAACTGGGTCAGAATTGGGAGAAATAAGTTCTAGTGTATTTATCAGCTACATCGTTTAGAACAATAAAATTCTTTCTATTTCTGCTACACAGAGGAATTCTTAAATCATAGAAAATGAAATATGCTTGCGTCACACTGGGTCAGATGACCCCGCTCATGGCTGTGGGCAGGGGTCCAAAGCACAATATGGCCACCCAGGGTCCATATGGATAAGACAGAGAGCAGCTCCCAGAGAAGGGACATGTGCTGCGTTGAGTGGGAGTCCAGAGGGGTATTGACCTCCATGCCCTGCATCCATGCCTTCCTTACTCGTTGCGGGAGTGCTTGTAACATCTGTGCCCAGAACGATCCACTTCAAAGCCTTGCTGACCCACTGGGTTGGGTTTCATTCTTTATTAGTGAGTGGACATATGCTTGTTTCATAGGGCTTTTGCGTGGAGACCTGCCTTATTAAGTCAAATTGAGAACTGTCTTTGAAGCTGGACATTGCTTTGGTGCAGAACAGATCACAGAATTAGACAAAAGTGCTACCCAATCAACTTGCCCCCCAAAAGGTCGACTGATTTTTGAATATGCATGAAATGTGTTTTAATTATAACTGTAACACCTACTTTTGTAGACATCTCTTGTTTAAGGTAATTTGTTCATTCTTTTTCTAGACAGCTTTCATGAGGTCCACACTGGATATTAAGCTCTGGTGGGCAAGAGATTTTATTCCAACCATGCCAGCAATGGTGTGTGCATGTAGTTACCACCACTAATTACCTTATTATGGGAACAGTTTGGATGGTTACAGTTTCACTTTCAAAGTTTAATATGGTTCCCAGCTCTCTATTCCCAGTTGTTAAATTCTCAGAGCCTCAGCTGTCATTTGACTGACAACTGCTTGAGCATTTTCGTTCTGAAGCTGGCCCTTTGCTGCTTCAGGGCACACTGGGAAGAGAGGGTGTTGCAGGTGAAGTCTGGACGCTTTTCACATCGCTCTTGAATTTTTTAAATTCTCGGATTTGACAAGTACAGTTAATTTTTAATTTCCTTCTCTTAGAACTTTTCCATTGATGTGTAAAAGGCCATATCAAATATATGAATAGTCTCACAAATGAGAGAAAATATCTATGAGGTCTTAAAATATTCTGAATAATATTTTCTTTCTTTTTAGCTGTCTCCGTTATGAGGTACAGCGCCTCTGCTTTTGGGTTTGCAGTAAGTAACCTGAAATGTACTTTTATGAAGTTTTGCACGTTTCTCCTGAGCCTGCAGATCTCTTGCTGGGCTCTTAATTAAGAGGGTGGTTAGCAAATGAGAGAGAGCATGACAATCACCTTTTATGGAAGTGGCTTCTACAAACAATTATAATTTAATAGAAGTACACTGCAGTGACACTGTATAATTCTCAACAAGAGATCAGGGCCACCATGTTTTCTGCATCTGGTTGAGAAGGATGCTTATAGGGTTTTAGCCCTTCCCGCCAACCCCCCAAGGTTTTAGGTTTGAAACTGGGCACACATTGGAGTGAACCATTTGCTGGTGTGGGCAGAGGTGTTGGGAGTTAAGATCGGGGCTGCTGGCACTAGGACGTCAGTCCGTAGCCAGACTTGGAATAATCAGGCTTCCCTGCCTGCTTCCTGATGGGTGTTGGTTAGAGAAAATGGGTCTCAGTTGCTGAAAACTTGAGTGAAGTCTTCCCACATCCCTTTAAGAGAATGCTAGTGCTTGTAATTTTCCAGATGAAAAGTGTGGCGTGGTGACTCATGCAGAGAAAGCTCCTTGAAACAGCCCTCCTGCATAGCTTCAGGGCTTCCTGTACCTGAGGGTGTGTGTTCCTGTTCCCAAACCTACTTCTTCCCTTTGTTGTGGGGAGAAGTCGGGCTGGGAACAGGAACACACACCCTCAGTGTTTTGAGGCTTGCAGATTCTGTTCAGGATCTTTTGAAAGGTGTGGACTGTCTCTCCAGAAAAATGCCAAAGTGCCGCATACACGCACTCACACACTCCACACCACCCCCCTGCCCACCTCTCTCTCATACTCCTGTCTCTCTCCCCTCCTCTCTTACATTTCTCTCTCTTATGCATTCACTCGTTCATTTGAACAAAAGCATTGAATTTTGCATCCAATTTCACGGTGTTGGCAGACTTCCCGGAGCCCCTGGGTGACCCCACCTTCTGGACCCCTGGACCCCGGGTATCAATAGAACAGTCCCACTGAGAGCCAGAAACACAGAGTCCTTGGCCTGAATCTTCTACTTGGGACGGGCAGGAAAATGCTGAAATTATCTTGCCTGCCCTGGGGAAATCAATTTCACCTGTGTCAGAACAGCGTCATCACCCTGCCCACATCTCCAGAGGGCTGGGAGCCAGAGGCCCCGGGAGCAGAGCCCTGCACACCAGAGTGTGGTTTCTCAGGCCCCAGCAGCAAGGGACCAGGGAGAGCCATGACCCTGGCACCAGGCAGGCGTGTTGGGTGCCCTGGCTCAGAATTCCCAGGATTCACCTTGAGGATGATGAATGACCAGCCTTGTAACGATGTGAAGCCTGTTTGCTCTGAGGTCACTGGCTCAGATGTTCTGAGTCACAGAACGCTTACCTCGTGTCTTCGCAGTTGTGCCCTATTAACTCTGGGAAACCACTAATACCGTGTCTCCTTCTCCTAGTTTGATGCCATCCTTGACGTCCTGTCTTCTGCGATCGTCCTGTGGCGTTACAGCAACGCGGCCGCTGTACACTCTGCCCATAGGGAATACATGTAAGTGGATTTTTGTCTTCTTCCAGACTGCAGAACCCTCGCAAATGAGGGGCACGTAATTAGGCTGTCAGCACAGCTCCCCCTGTAGCTTTGGTCCTGGTGATGAGAATAATAAGTTCCCCAAATTGCCTTTGAGACTGGCTAGTATGATATCAGCTATATGATAGGCCCCTTCTGCGATGGTCAGAGGGATGGGATGTCCCTTTATAATTCTCCCTGTTCTATGCACTTGAGTCTGGAGTGAATATTTGTATGCTCATTTGCCTGTCCATCCATTCATCTATCCGTGGATCAATCTGAAACTGCACGGCTCAGATTGGGACTTGGACCCCCAGGCCAGGACTCAAACCCCGTCAAACCCCAGTCTGGGACTTGAACCCACTGTCTTTTCATTGAAATCACACACCTGGTCTCAGGACTTACTGAAGCTCAAGTTCTTTATGTCTCGGCACAGAAAGAATTCAGTGAGAGACAAAGTGATAGGTATTTATTTAGAGAGATACACATTCCACAGACAGAATGTGGTCCCTGACTTATGGGGTGGCTAGTTTCTATGGGCTGGGCAATTTCATAGACTAAAGAGTGAGAGGATTACTCCAACTATCTTGGAGAAGGGGCAGGGATTTCCACTAATTTGGCCACTGCCCACTTTTTGACCTTTTATGGTGAGCCTCAGAACCATCATGGCTCTGGTGGGTGTGTCTCTTAGCGTGCTGATGTATACAGTGAGTGTATAATAAGGCTCACGGTTTTTGTCATATACTCAACGTCTGTGTCTTTTTTTTTTTTTTTTTTTTTTTTTTTGCGGTATGCGAGCCTCTCACTGTTGTGGCCTCTTCCGTTGCGGAGCACAGGCTCCGGACGTGCAGGCCCAGCGGCCATGGCTCACGGGCCCAGCCGTTCCGCGCGGCACGTGGGATCTTCCCAGACCGGGGCACAAACCCGTGTCCCCTGCATTGGCAGGCGGACTCTCAACCACTGCGCCACCAGGGAAGCCCTGTGTCATTCTTTTAAAGGTTGTGCCCTGTCCCCTTCCCTCCTGTTTCAAATCCATCTACCAATCCACCCATCCTTCCATCCTCTCTCAATTTGTGTTACTGGAATCTTTGCTCCCTTGAATTTTTATGCTTTTTTTTTTCCTTTCTTTTTAAGTAAGATGAGTTCTCCGCTGTAATTTACAGAAGACATCTTGAAGGCATTCTAAATTATTCTACTTGTCTTCTCTCCCTCTCTGTATTAGAGGATATTGCTTGCCCCAGTCTCTACATCTTGTGGGTGATGATTGTGTGTTTGAGGTACTTGTGTTTGTGACCTTAAAATGTGTGTCTTTCCGATTTCCATTTTTTTCTTCTCTTGGTAATCCCCAGGTTCCAAAGTCAGATCTGTTGGCTTTGAATCTCAGCTGCACAACTTGTCAGCTCTGTGACCATGGGAAGCTATCCTAAACTGGTCTATGCCTTGTTTCCTTACCTGGAAAAAAGGGGAAATAACAGTACCTCCTCATAGGATTATTGTGACGATTATGTGAGTGAGGTAATCATCACATATACGATGTAATATAATATTAGGTTATATATATTAACTTAGAGCAGTGTTTGGCATGTAGTTCAGTAAGCCTTAGCTGTCATTGTTATTAATTATAAAGGGGGCTCCCCTGGGACTGAGCCATCGCTGGTTATTAGAGCAGCAGCTTTACTCCACCTCAGCAGCGTTTGGACAGTTGAATACAAATGAGTAAATGCCCCGTGCTTTGTTGCGGTGCCCAGACAGAAGGTATTCTTGATGGGAGATGCTGTGTCACAATCAGACATACGAACGTTGAGTGTCAGGGGACTCAGATAGTAATATATCTGAGGTTGCATGTGCCAGATGGAAGGCTTGAAAGATGATGCCAAAACTGATTCGAGAATGAGAGCAACTTTTAGTTTAGTTGTTGGCTTTAGATAGAGCACAAAAGCTTCTTTTAAGTGCTAACTGTGTATTTTAATGTGCATTAGCTCTTGTAACAAATATAATTAAAGTGTCAAATCTCTGATATCACAGATGATATTCTTTAGGATAAGGTTAATTTTTGAAAAAGTGAGTCAACTCATTGGTTGAAAAAATTAAGAAACAATAGTAGTAAACTGATTTTGTAAAATTTCAAATGACGGTATTATAATGATAGAAGTTGAATCAACACTGGTCTAGCTGAAGGAGCAGTGAATGCATCGACCCAGGCTGTTGCTGGCTGGTATTTGAGGAATACAGTGAGAACAATCTGGAGAGTGCAGTAGAGACATATACTCGACTTTCAAGAGTCGGTCCCTGTGCTCTCAGAAGAACACATATTCTTTGGATTTACAGTTGCGCTATCCAATATGGCAGCCACTAGAGGCTGGTCCTGAGAGGTGTTGTCACTGTAAAATACACACCAGGTTCCAAATACATAGTAAGAAAAATGAGTATAAACGTTTTATTAATAATTTAAAAACAATATTGATTACATGTTTAAGAATATTTTGGATGTATTAGGTTAAATAAACTATTACAATTAATTTTACTTGCTTGTGTTTACATTTTTAATATGGCTTTTAGAAATTTAAAATGACATATGGGGCTAATATTATATTTCTGTTGGGCCTTGCCCTCAGAAGAGAAAGCTCTTCCCTCTGCCTTCTCTTATTTTGGAGTTAATAACCCAGAATTTGATTTGCAATTCTAGGAGGAATTGAATTCAGTGTTTCTCAATTTCTCTCTTCTAATTTGCTTTTTTAATCTGATTTCCTTTATGCTAAAATGAATCTCTTACATATTAGTCACAAAGCCACAAATTATTGTGGCTTTTCTATAGTGTTGGGATCTCTGTGAGCATTTGCCAGGTGGCCTGGAGTTTTTCCAACATTAAGGTTGATGACAAGAAATGTCATTGGTTTCACTGTTTTTAATGATCCCCAAACAAGTACCCTTAAAAAATGTGTATCTTTATTAATACCCATAAGGCAGAAACTCACAGATTTGCTTTGATAATTCCCAGATGGTTGTTCAACGTGATGATACCCATGGATTCATTTGGAGATTCTTAATCTAGGGATTAAAATAACACTCAATCCCCTGTATCGCTGGCTTAGTTTAAAGTTTTAATCTCTGGCTCATCTCATGTAAATTAAAAATTCGTGAAATCACCGCCAGCTGAGAAACTGATGTTTGCATATGAATGAGCGTGAATGAATGATGAGGGGCATAGCCAGAAGAGCCTCTGGTTTTCAGTTAGTTGCTGGAGAACAAGAGTTGAGAGAATGGGGAAATACCCAACTAGTTCTTAGTTAACTCTTCTAATTTTCCCTCCTCAGCCTTGCTGCTTGATGACAGTGGGTGTGACGGGTGTTTGATGCTCAGAGGGAGAGAGCATGCATGCCTTCACCACCATCACAGAGCAGAGCTCTAATAAGCTTTGCTTTGTTTCACACTTTTTTATTGTGCCCAAAAACATCCCATTTACCGTCTTAAATATTTTAAGTTTATAGTTCAGTAGTGTTAAGTGTATTCACGTTGCTGTGGGTCGTCAAATTCACAGAGACAGAAGCTGGAACACTTCGGTATTTTTAAACAATGTAAAGACATATTTGACTAGAGGATGGCAATAAGAATTGAACAATTATAAACCTAAGCTTCCTCATTTTTCACAACTAAACAATAAATACATTTCCAGAAATAGATGACAATACCTCATGCAAAATTCCAAAGTCATGTAGTCACTTAGATTAACCCAAACTGTTTGTAAATTAAAAGACAACAGCAAAAGGTCACAAAAAGCCTATTTCTTTCATAGCATCATGGCTGATTCTTTTTTTCTTTTTTTTTTTTTCGCGGTACGCGGGCCTCCCACTGTTGTGGCCTCTCCCGTTGTGGAGCACAGGCTCTGGACGCGCAGGCTCAGCGGCCATGGCTCAGGGGCCCAGCCGCTCCGCGGCATGTGGGACCTTCCCAGACCGGAGCACGAACCCGTGTCCCCTGCATCGGCTGGCGGACTCTCAACCACTGCGCCACCAGGGAAGTCCCTATGGCTGATTCTTTAAGCAGATAAAGTACTGTAAAGAATGGTCAAAACTTGGCCTGAACTGTCTTCTGGTAATTATTAATACCACTATTTATAGTTTTGTTGTCCAAGGACAAAAGCTGTATGGGATCGATCACCTTCTGCTGTTACTGGAACAGATCTCCAGGAATTTTTCATCTTGCAGATTGAGACTCTATACTCATTAAACAACTCCCTATTACCCCTCCTCTAGCCCTTGGTAGCAACTCTACCTTCTGTCTCTATGAATTGGACGGCCCTAGGTCCCTCATATAAATGGAATCATACGGTATGTGCCCTTTTTTGCCTGGCTTGTTTCACTTAGCGTAGTGTCTTCAAGGTTCATCCATGTTGTCGCATGTGTCAAAATTTCCTTCCTTTTTAAGACTGAGTAATATTCCGTTATATGTATAGACCACGTTCTGTGATTCCATTCATCTATTGATAGGCATTTGAGTTGTTTTCATGTCAGCCATTGTGAATAATGGTGCTTTGAATATGGATGTACACACGTCTATCTTCATGACCCTGCTTTCAGTTCTTTTGGAAATACACCCAGCAGTGGGATTGGTGGGTCATGTGGTAGGACTATTTCTTCCTTCCTCCCTCCCTTCCTTCCTTCCTTCCTGATCTAGTTCCCTGAGCAGGGATTGAACCCACCTCCCCTGCAGTGGAAGCGTGGAACCTTAATCACTGGACGGCCAGGGAAGTCCCAGGACGAGATTTAATGTTTCGAGGAATCTCCATACTTTTCTCCATAGCAGTTGCTTCATTTTGTGATTCCACCAGCTAGTTATCTATTTTGAAAAGCTCCAAATTTACATCATCTTCCTGTGGTAGGAAACATGTACGTGGGGAAGGTGGACCATTGGGCTTACATGCGGTAACGGTTTTCAACAGGTGACTGTTTTAGAAGGAGGGGCAAGGGAGTCATTTGTTTGTA